ATGTACCCAAAATAATTGCATAGATAGAGGAAGAAATGAGGAATCAATGGCAAGGCAGAGGAGAGGGAGAACTCGCAACTCAAGCCACTAGCACTACAGAATCGAACACCCATGCTTGCGACAAGCTTTGTACAGAGGAGAAGGAATGGTGGGTTCAAAGCTTCTAGGCATGAAACTGCTCTTGCTCTCAATGGACCAGAATGTAAAATCAGACCAGGGAAGGAGGAAAAAAAATCTAATGGGTTAAGTGAAAGCATTACAGCAATTTTACTTAGGCCTAAACAAAAATAAAACCCATCCTTAAGATTTAGGGAGACTTGAACTCAAGACCTAAATATGAACACCCATAGTCATTTCTGCTAAGCTATCAACTCACTCTCGATGAAACTATTCCAAAATTAATAAAAATGCATGTAAATTATCTAACCAAAATTTTTTTGTTTACTAATTTTTTCCCTAATCATTATAGTTTTTGTTTTAATAATGAATTTATAAAAGTACTGTAATGACCCTAAATTTTAAATTTTAATTTAAAAAAAAGATTCTTCCAATTGATAATTTTATTTAAATTAATTTTATAATAAGTGGACAGTGATATTTTACTATATCTTATGCTAGTATTCTACTTGAAGGTCCAGAGTCCAAATCATTTTGAACAATAGATTAATTTAATTTTCTTTTAACAATGAAAAAATTACCAGAAATGCCCTTGTCTTTTATGTTATGAAAAAAAAAATTTGGGGTATTTCTTGTATTTTTTGCAATTATTCTTCGTTCAAATTTCTTTTCCTTCTTATGCGAAAAACAGAGCATCGTTCAGCAACCTTTTTTTTTTTCCCCCCCTTCTCTTCACTGGCATCAAGCTTCCGCCTTTTTCCTTCTCTTATTTTCGTCGATCATCGTAGGCGTCCTTCTCCGATTTGTCGTCGACGGGTGCGTGAGTTCCAGCAATCGCCATCAAGTCTTCATCTTCCCCTGTTCGGACGTCGGGTTCCTCTTTCCCCTTCGAGCAGCAATAACAATCTAGTGCGTCAACTTTCTGGTGTGGATGTTGGGTGCATCGGGCTTTTCCCTCCCTTGTTTCACTGTCAACAATCTCTCTTCTCCTTCCTCTTCTTTACACGGTGACACTTTCTTCTCCATATGGTTCTAAATTTGCTGATTTGTGTGTTGGAGCTTCAAGCTCTGCCTTTCATTTGTTTCAACTGATCAGGTGAGTAAATCTCACCTCTTGCTCCTGTCACAAGCCTCACATTAGGAAGCCTCATAAGTATAGTGAAGTAAGTCTCATAAGTATAGCAAAGTTTATAAATATAAAAATTCTTCCACCCCAACAGACTAATATTGGAAAAATAATATTTTCCTCTAATTCAAAAAGAGAGATTTCATGGTTTGGGAGTGAGGCAGGAACCTTGACTAAATAATCTCTTACAATTAGAGAACAGACCTACTTTAATTATAATTGACAACTCTAAACTTATATTTAATATATTTTAAATTTTTAATAATTAAATTTAAAACAATCTCATTCCCACCAATAATTTTAAATTAATATCCATTACTTTATATATTGTGAGGTCCATCATTTTCTATTTTTACTCTCTCTCCCCCCCTTCTCTCTCTCTCCCCGCGCCTTCTCCTCCCTCCTCCTCTCTCTCTCCCCCCTCTGTGTCTTGCTCTCTCTTTTTGCCTTCTCCTTGGATCTTTTTCTTTTTCCAAAAGCCTTCTCCTTGTATCTATATAGAGCATATCTGTAAATCTTAGATCAAGATCCCTCAACTATATCGGAAACCATTAATGATCTATACGTGTATATACATGCGCTGGCGTTGCTATGTGTAGGTCTCGGACTTGAAGCACACGTCACTGGAATATATTTAAGCCAGAGAGAGAGAAAATATTGTGTGTAGGTCATTAAATGAGTAGTCATCCACAATGATGCCCCATCTCTTGCTTCTCTGTGCTATCAAAAAACTACGCACAGCGCAAGACTTTTCGTCTTTTTCATTTTTCATAGGCACCTAGGATTACCATCGCAAGGTTCACTATAACTTCGCTACAAGTTTTATTTTGGTGTTCTTCGCTCTTGCTATTAATTAGTTATATTAATTGGGTTTTTGGGTTGATTGCATCGGCAAGATTCGCCCAAACCCAAGATATATATTCCTAATAGGTTTCTGGGTCTCTAGATCTCTTTTTCCGGATTCCAACTTTCTGATCTATTTGTAGAACTAAAGAAGGTGTTGCTTTAGGGTTGGTCAATTTTGAGGAATGGCCAGTTTTGGTGACTTAATTAACTTGTATCTCTGTAAGTTTTGGTAGAGGATCTAGTTCTTCCATGCATGGATAGTGAGATTGCAGATAGAGAGAGAGAGAGAGAGAGAGAGAGTGAGACAGTGGGGGGAGAAGAGGGGGGAGAGACACGAGGAGACGGATGGAGAAGGAGGAGGGAGGAGAAGGCAAAGAGAGAGACACGGGGACCAAAGAAAGTAAAAACAAAATATGATGGCCCCACTATGCTGAAGTGATTGATGTTAATTTAAAATTAATTATGTGATTGAGATTATCTTAAATTTAATTATTTAAAATTTAAAATATATTAAATATTAATTTATGATTGAAATTACCCCCAAATTTATATTTTATAATTTAAATTATTATGTAATCGTATTTTTTTATTTTTTGGCAAAAGTTATTAATAAAAAATTGTAATATTACATATTAGGTTCTAATATTTATATTTCCTTTTATTTTCTAATAAATATGGGCTAGATTATAAATTTATTTTTTATTTTTTATTATTTTGTTTCATTCCATTCTTTTAAAAATCTGAAAGATTCAATGCACATGTCTTTAAAATTTATTCTTACAGAACCTACTTCGAGAGTAATTGGTAGAAAATCTGCTAACACAACTTGTCCTATTTCAGATTCGTGTGAATTAATGCAAAGGGAAATAAAAATCTATGAGAAAAATGGCTTACTTTGATTGGAAGGAGAGAATAACAACAATTATAATCCAAATTTAAATGTCTATTAATTTTTGTCGAACCATTAAAATTTGTGTCGGTCCTTCTTCGTGCTTTTAGAGAAACAACATTTATCGTCAGTTGGGAAAATAAACATTCTCATTTTTCAAATTATTTTGTACATTTTTACTGTCAAACATAAATTTTATTTATTAATTTTCAATATAAACAATTTTTTGTAAAACATATCAAATATAGTACTCCCTTCATTCAAAAATGTAAGGCATTTTTAATCAAATTTCACCCTTCAATAAAATAATTACTTACTTTCTAACTAACCTTATCTTTTCATATTTACCCCTATTAAACACCTTATAATAAATATAAAATCATTATCAATGAGGCACTTTTAAAAAAATGTAATAATTACATCTTAAAAGACTAAAAATGTCTTATATTTTTTAACATCCAACTCTTTAAAAAATACATTACATTTTTGAATAGAGGGAGTAATTGATATGTGACAAATAAAATATTACTTCTTCCGTTAAAAAATATAAGGTATTTTTAACCAAATCTTACCCCCCAATAAAATAGTTACCTACTTTTAAACTAACCCTATCTTTTCATATTTATTCCTATTAAACACTTTATAATAAATATAAAGTCACTATCAATAAGGGCACTTTTGAAAAAAAAAAAAAGACCACTGATTATGCCTCGGAAGATTAAAAATGCCTTACATTTTTAAATATTCAACTCTTAAAAAAATGTCTTACATTTTTTAATAGAAGGAGTATATATTTAAGATTTTGACAGTATAAATTATATTGTGTTACATTTTGTTTGAAATAATCATTTTCCCACCACAACTTTTGTGGGTGAAAATATAACACTTGTGGCAAACATACACACACACATACACACACACACATATTTGTCATGAAAAATCATGCACATATTCAATATGAGTTGGCCTCATGGTTGTGCGTTGAACATTCTCAAACCTCAATTACTGAATCAAAATATACAATCTTTCAAAAACTTGTCACAATTTCCATTTGATGGAGGAACCGGTTACAATTAATGGATCAAACAAAAATACAAGCGGTTGCATTTACAACAAGATCTATTAAGTTCTGATAATTAATATTTGATACACATTTCACTCCCTCGCTCGTCCGATCCCTACAAAATTTTACTTGTGCTGCCAAATAACTAACTCTAAAGCTTCGCATGAAATACAGAGCCACAGCAAGGGTCCGGACGTCTGGTCCAAAAAAACTATCTCAGTTTTTACTCATTCTAAGCTTAAGCATAACATTTTTCAAGAGATCACAAGTTTAAATTCGGAAGTTTCATGTGATATGATAGTAATGTAAATAAAGAAATCAACACGAGATTTATTGCTTTTCTATAACAAACGAATTATTTGTCTCTAATCTCTTCTATTACATGACTTTTATTCCACATGAGAATATCCAAATATAGAAACATATCAAAGAAAGCATCAATTTACATATATCACCAGGGAGTATTAGCAAGTTCTTGAAATTAAACCCTATGAGTCAGACTCATTAAGTCATTTTATGGTCTCTTTTAATTTTTAAGCTGTATTTCAAGAACTTTCATGGACAAATGAAATAATCATATTCAAAAAACAAATGAACTAACTGAAAGAATAAGGGCCAAAGTTGGAGATTCGAAGAAATAGTTATAGTAGAACTTGATGTGTGTGAAAATAGTTTTGGAATTTGTTGTAAAACAATCTATTTGTATTTTTATTAGAGAACATGATAACAAACACCTAAAACAATGCCTAATTTTCTTACTAAAGCATTTTATAAACCAGTATAATGTTCTTAAAACAAATAAAAAAAACCATTACGCTATCTTTAACAATCAATTAATGAATGAAAAGACATACTTCTATATGTTAAAACGGAACGAATGGAACTGCAGCAAATTGCACTCAACCAATATCAATGTTGTTATGCAAGCAAAGAAGCAAAGCTTTTTAGATACACACACATTGAGATGTATATTTATATATATATATATATATATATAAGGATTTACTGCCATGCTTTCTATCATGCAGCATGTTCCTATTTGTAATGTTTTCAAACAAATTTCTCTAAGAAATTAAATACCACACAGAAGTTGGCCTTTTCAAAAAAGGGGGGGGGGGATATCACACCGAAAATAAACAGGTCAAGCGACTTGGTTTAGATCACACTTGGCATATCCTTATCCAATTAATTAGTCTGAGGGCCTGGTCCTGGAGTTAGTTCTGGCCTTCGACTTCGAGGACGACGACTTGTTACTGCACTCGCACCAATCTGCTGCACAAAAATAATACAAAGCCGCATCAACACACACACACACACATCAATGTAACAATCAATGTACAAATATACTCTCTCTCTCTCTATATACATACATACATATATATATATATAATAAGTTAGTGCTGTCTCAATTTATAATTACTTAGCTTTTAGATAAAATTGCATGTACTAATAAATTTCATTAAATACACTTTATAATCTTATTTCTTCAAAATAAAAATATAAGCTTTCAAAAATATACTACATTTAATACTTTATTTGTAAAAAAAAATATTAGAGAGAAAATATAATGGGAATAGTAATATTGGAATGGCATAATTAATTAAACTTTATTTTTTTCAAAATATCTTTTTTTAAATTTTAAATTTTTTTCAAAAAGTGTCTTATAAATTGAATCTGGACATTAGAGTACTATTGTTTGCAAAATAAAAACAACACAATATATTTATTGTCATTTATTGTCCAATTCTGGGTAACAAAAGAAACGCATAGTATCTAATTAAATCAATAATTCTATGGCTGAGATCCATTTTTTATGTACTAGTTAATTTCTCGACTATATTATATATAATAATTAAATTTTTATTATTTAATTTTATGACTATACAAATGAACCTTGAAGAACAATCATTACATGCATAATAAGACATACAATGGCTTTACATTGTAATGTTATTTCGGTTTCCATCCTCGTCCAGTCATAAGCACTATCTGGAAAGTCCAACTTTTAGATTTTATTTTTAAATTTTTATTTTATATTTATTATAGAAAATTATAAAATTTTAAGAAATTTATCTTATCATTAATCTGGATAATATAGATTTAATTTGGATGGTCTAATTTAATATTATATTTTTTAATCTAGAAGGTGCAGATTTACTTGTTTTATTTTTTATATTTTATTTTATATTCATTAAAATAAAAATTAGAAATTTTAATAAATGTATCCTATTGTCAATTTGGACAACATAGATTTAATCAATATAGTTTAATTTTTATAAATTGACTACTAGATATAATCTGTACAGTTTAAATTTAAAATCTTCAAGTTGCAACTTTTTCTTAATTTTTAAAGAGATGGCTTGAATATTATCTTTATTTTTATTTTTTTAATATTACATTTACTAAAATAAAAATTTTAAAAATTATTATATTTGGATAGTCAATCTATAAAATTTATAAAAAATGTACTATTAAATTAAGCCACTCAGATTAAATTTATATTATTTAGATTGATTATAAGATAAATTCTTAAAATTTTATAATTTTTTACAATAAATATAAAATTTAAATTTAAAATTTAAATATAAAAATCTGGAAAATCTGGATGGTCCAGATTCATGGTGCTCAGAACCTAATGATTATGGAAACCGAACATGCTATAAAACATAACACTGAAATATTCTGCAAGAACACAACGTCTTCCAAATTTTACTTTCATCAATTTTCAAAAAAAAATATTAATATTTATTTTATGTTTTTTTATATTTTTTGAATAGATGAAAATAAATTCATGCCAGCTAGCAGCTGGATGTATTTTTTTCTATTCTGTACATCCTATAAAATGTACCGTCATTTAAAAATATAAGGTAATTTGAATCTTTTAAAATATAATAAATGAGATTTTTCTAAAATACCCTTAATTAGGTATATAATTAATAAGATTTTCTAATTTACATACCTTATTAAATAAAGATAAATATGAAAAGAGTGTAATTTTAAAGGCAATTACCAACTTATTGAGAGTGTAATTCGATCTTATAATATTGAACGAGGAAGTAAGTTCTAATAATTTTCCCCAAAAAAAAAATGCAACACCAATAAATGTTAGCTGCTGAGGAGATCTACTGCCACGTAAACAAAATAAAGAATTAACATCTTGAGTAAAATTTGACCGTTAAATTAATCCAAATCTATTCAGATTTTTTTTTAAATGAAAAGAGTCTAGAACATCCTAAACGAAACTCAAATATCAAATTAAATATGAAAAAAAACCCACACCTGGCAGCACACCAAAAAAAAATACACACACACACATTTGACGACCGTCATAAAAAAATACCGCCAAAATCCACTTCTGCGTATTTTAATGTGGTCCGTTGAAAGAGAGTTAACAGAGAATGTGTGTGTGAGAGAGGGAGAGCAGATATCAACACTAGTATTTAAAAAGAACAAAAAAAATTAGAAGCTGTATGTGTGTCTGTCAGTGTTGGAATATACATTTACACACCTGGTTTGTTGTAGTGGAAGGAGGATCTGAAGCTATGAGGCTCTTAGAATCGTCGTAATGGACTGAGATCTCATGAAACCCTAGACATTTCAGCAGAGACCTGACAAGTTGTTGAAGGAAATGGCGTGGGTGGTGAACATAGAAAATGGCTTTGTTCGACGACTCAGAAACATTCACTTCTCTTTCTTCTTCTTCTTCTTCCGGTGGTTGAGTAGGTGACGACGACCTCTCCATTAGGATTGATTCTTCTTCTTGAGCCTTCTTCCTCTGCTTCCTCTTGTTTGCGATGGCTGGTGAATCTGTTCTGTGCTTTAATAACTGCACTTAAATGCTCTGTTTCTTGTGACCTGCCACGCTTTTACTTGATTCATGAATTAATTCACGCTTTAATAGCAGAAAGGTGTCTAAAGACAATTGTACCCTTTGACCAAATTTATTGATACTTTCCCAATTCTACTTATAAGATAGGAAAAAAATGTTTGTTTTAGTCATGTTTACAAAGCACATTAATAATTATCATGTTTATATTTATCATTTTATTCTTATTAAATATTGGGAAGCTTAGTAAATACTCCCTCCGTCTTTATATAAAAAGTCTTCTAAAACATTTTTTGTTCTTAGCATATTTTTTAATGAATAGACCATTATTCCCTTATTAAATTAGAAAGATAAATGTCACATTCCAAAAATAGAGGGTGACCGGCACGAGTGTGAACCACTCACACATTTCCGTAAGCTTCAAAATAAACATTTATTCCATTTTACAAAAGAAAAGAACAAAATTTAATCAAATCACATGAAAATTAAAATAATTTCTTTAAACTCATTATCATAAAAAAGTGTCGACGTTTTTGTAAAAATTTCGACAGAACCTCCCTTATAACTAGAATCTCCCAAAAATTCTACAACAAAACTTTTTACAGATAACAGTATAAATCAAGAGCGTAGCTCCTTCTAGCCAGCAACTAATATACAAACCAAAACAAAGTCCATCAACAATCTATGTAGAGCATCTAATTTTTCTTTTAAATAAAAAAGACATACGAGTTATATATTTACATTAAAAGAAATAATACCAATCCAAAAACTTTCACCCACTGTAGCTATTCTGCCCTTTTAAGGTCGTTGATGGGATCGGTGTCAGCTAACCAATCTAAGGTCAAATAATTTTTTCAATGAATAGCATTCCCATAGTAAAATTTTTAAAATTTAAATTGACAATCTCTAACAATGGTATCAGATAATAAAAAGTAATTCTACCAAAATTTATAAGTATGTAAGTCATAATCATATTTATAAAATAAGAGTAAATTAAAAATAATTTATGTTATCATGCTTAAAGAAAATAATATGCTCTCATATAACTCAAAGTGATACAAATTACTAGTCAAAATCAGGTAAATTTCGAAAACACATATTAATCAACATTTAAAATTTTGAGAACTTAACATAACAGGTTACAAACAAGGACACTCAGTCCATAAGGGTATATAACCAAACACGGCTTGTGTCACAAAAACAAACGTGGACACACCAATCCACGAAGTTAAGTAACCAAGCGCAGCCGAAGTTACGAAACAAACATGAACACACAGTCAATGAAGGAAACTAACCAAACACGACTTAGGCCATGAAATTAAATATGGGTACAAAGCCCACGAATACCAAACGTCAGAATACAACTCACGAACCAACTAGCTAATGTTTAACCATAGTACTTCGAGCTAACAGAACTGTCATTAGTAGTAGTGTTCTGTTTAGAATTCTCTCAAAAATCGTGTTTCAAACATACGAGAAAAATAATTATTTTTGAAATACAATTTGCGTCTTCAATACCAAACTCGCATGCATCTCTTTAAATTTCAATTTAAGACCTGTTGAAAATAATCTTTCATAAAATAATATACGAGCTTGCGTTATCTAAATAATCAAGGATTTTTTAAGAGTTTAATAAATCAAATAATTTCATAAATCTTTGAAACATAATCCCTGAGGAAACAAATGCATATATCCTCCTTTAACCATATCGCATCGACATCACAAAGTTTCAAAACTAATGTAATTCACAAGAATAAAATATCTTAATGAAAATTTATTAAAAATAAAAATACCAATAAAAATAAATTAAAGGAAATGATATTCACTTACACATTGAAATTCTAAATTCTCGAAAGTATTCTTCTTTTAATTCTTGTCAGGGTCTTATTTTTCCACACACCCTATAAAGTATAAACATATACAATTTTAATAACTTTTTAATTTATAGCACAATCTCTATCGATCACCATCTAAAATTCAAAATCAAATTTATGATTTAAAGTTAGTTCAAGCATTATTATTTATTCCTCTAACTTCCTTCGTAAAACTTTAGCCATACCATTCTATTTTCTTGGAATAAGAGTTTTCTCTCAATCTTTGCACCACTTACCTTAGGTGCATTACTTTTACCTCTTCAATTTTAAGCCTTCAACCATTCACCAAAAATCATACAAATTCCAAATATACACATGACTACATATAAGCCCATAATTAAATTCCTTTACAAATCTACAGGTGAATTCCTAAACTAATAATTCCCATCAATATTTAGAAGTTAAATTTTATTTCCTTATACAAGCCCTTTAATGACATCTCATAGGCACCAACAATATATCTAAGCTTGTCTCTTCCAATTTCACCTTAAAATTTTTTTAACATCAACCAAATCAACAAAATCAATTTAACTCCAAAATTATGACCCATATATACCACCATCATTCTTCAATACTAATGCATATATATATATATATATTTTCGGTCATGGCAGCAACAGAACACACAAAAAATTTTATAGTTTTAGTCCCCAATCAGAACTCTCTCTCTTGCATAGATTCATCAAGAAAAAGTCCTTAAGATTCTCACCTCAAACACCAATAACAGCAGAGGCAACGAAGAAGATAGAATGTACAGCAAAATATGGGAGAGCAAATGAAAATCTTCAGCTGAGCAAGGAACAGAGGAAGACGCAGCACCATTCAAGAGAAAGGGAAAAAACCAGAATCAGCATCGCCTCAGCTCAAGACCAGCATCACCCATTTCTGATGACCTTAACCCAATGAAACGCTGAGCTCGTGCAAGGGAGAATGACACAGAAACAAGGAAGAACTCTAACTAAAATGAACGGACCAGCCACGAGCACACTGGCGACGATGAGCTACGTGAACGCGGTGCCAGCTACAGTTGAAAGGAAGAAAGCAGTGACCCACGAGAGGCTAAGCAAAATCTATCCAATCCTCAGATCTCCTTCTGCTCTAGAATACCTAAGAAAGAACAAGGAAGAGTTAAAATATCTGATGGAACTAAGGGCAATTTGGTAATTTCGCACAGCCAGAAAAAAAAATTTTGACTCTTCTTTTGGTCTCTTCCAAATTCAAACTTGGGACCTCATGTATGAAAGATTGCTCAGCTGCCACTAAACCAAGTCTCTAACTTGCTATATTTATCTCAAAAACTAATATAAACACACTTTAAGCAAGTTAACTTATATATTTATCTATTTATTTTAAATTTTATTGGGGTTATTACATCCTCCCCTCTAAAAAAATTCGATCCTCTAAATTTATGTGTGTACTTACCTCAATCTTCAAACAAGTATGGATACTTGACACGCATATCCCTTTCAACTTTTCATGTAGCTTCCTCTTGAGAATGGTTACGCCATAATACTTCTACTAAAGTAACTTCCTTCGACTGCAACTTTTTGACTCGTTTATCCAAAATAGCCATAGGAATTTCCTCATAAGCTAAGTCTGAGTCTATTTGAATCCCCTGTGTTTCTATCACATGAGAGGGGTCATATAAATACTTCCATAACATTGATACATGAAACATTAGATGGATACCAACCACTCAGGCAGTAATGCCAAACGATAAGCAACTGCCCCAATTCTTTCTAAGATCTCAAATGGATCCACATACCTTGGGCTCAGTTTACCTTTCTTCCCGAACCTCATCACCCCTTTCATAGGAGATACTTTAAGAAATAGTTTATCCCCGACCATGAATTCTAACTCCTGACGTCGATTATCAACATAAGACTTATATCGACTTTGAGCTGTTATTAATCTTTCCTTAATTATTTTCACTTTCTCGATAACATCCTGTACCAAATCTAGCCCCAAAAGCTTAACATCACCAACATCAAACCATCCAAAACATCAAACCATCCAATAGGAGACCTATACTACCTCCCATAAAGGGCTTCATATGGAGCCATTTGTATGCTAGTTTGATAACTGTTATTATAAGCAAACTCCACTAAAGCTAAGTAATGATCCTAACTACCACCAAAATCCAAAATACAAGATCTTAACATATCTTCAAGTATTTGAATGGTTCTCTCAGACTGGCTATCAATTTGCGAGTGGAAAGCAGTACTGAGATCTAATTGAGTGCCCAAAGCTTCTTATAAAGATCTCCAAAATTGGGAAGTAAATTGAGGACCTCTATCAAAAATTATAGATATTAGATTCCTATGCAGTCGCACAATCTCATTAATATACAATTGAGCATACTTATCAACACTATATGTTATCTTCACTGGAATGAAATGAGCTAATTTCGTTAGTCTATTGATAATAACCCAGATAGAATCATACCCCTTAGCAGTGCGAGGTAACCCACTGACAAAGTCCATTGTGATATTTTTCTCATTTCCACTCTGGTATTTCTAACCTTTGGTGTAGCCCAGCTGGCTTCTGGTGTTCTGCCTTAACTTCTTGGCATGTCAAACAGCGTAAGACAAAGTCTACCACATCCTTTTTCATGCCATCCCACCAATACAATTGTTTCAAATCTTGATACATTTTAGTTGCTCCTGGATGCATGGTATGTGTAGAATGATGAGCCTCTTCCATGATAAGTCGCTTTAAGTTTTCCTCTTATGGTACACAAATTCTACCCTTACACTTTAATATTCCTTCCTGGTCAATTTCAAACTCAGTATTGCTTCCTGCTATAACTGCTTCTTTTAACTTGCATAATTTTGGATCTAAGAATTGAGTGCTCTTAATCTAATCCATTAAAGAAGAATAAGCTCGTACATGAGCCAGAAATGTTCTCTTATCAATAATCTCAAACTTGACTCCACTTTGCTCAAGTTTATGAATTTCTTGCACCAAAAGCCTCCTTGTCAAAGTCATATGTGCCAAGCTACCCATTGACTTTCTACTTAAGGCGTCAGCCACTACGTTCGCCTTACCAGGATGGTAAAGAATTGTACAATCATAATCCTTAAGTAACTCCATCTATCTACTTTGTCTAAGATTAAGATCCTTCTGTTCAAAAATGTACTTAAGACTCTTATGATCCGTGTAAATTTCACAAGTCTCATCATAAAGATAGTGATGCCAAATTTTTAACGCAAAAACAACTGCTGCCATCTCTAGGTCATGGGTTGGGTAGTTCTGCTCGTGTTTCTTAAGTTTCCTTAAGGCATAAGCAATAACTCATCCATCTGCATTAGAACACAACCTAGACCCACACGAGAAGCATCACAATAAACTGCATACCCTCTGTTACCTGATGGTAAACTCGAAACTGGTGCCGAAGTCAGACACTCCTTTAACTTTTGAAAATTGTCTTCACACTTGTCATCCCATTCAAACTTGACATTCTTCTGAGTCAACCTTGTCAGTGGAGCGGCTATTTTAGAGAAATCCTTGACAAAACAATGATAATATCCTGCAAGACCTAAGAAACTATGAATTTTTATAACAGTCATCGGTCTTGGCCAATTTTGCACTGCTTCTACTTTGCTTGGGTCCACTTTAATACCATCTTTAGAAACAACATGTCCTAAGAAGGTAACTTTATCAAGCCAAAATTCACATTTAGAGAACTTGGCATAAAGTTGTTGTTCCCTCATTGTCTGTAAAACAATCCATAAATGATGTTCATGCTCCTCTAGGCTCTTTAAGTATAGCAAAATATCATCAATAAAAATGATCACGAATTTATCAAGAAATGGCCTAAACACCTGATACATCAAATCCATAAACGCTACTAGCGCATTAGTTAACCCAAATGACATTACCAGGAATTTGTAATGACTATATGGGGTTCTAAATGCAATCTTAGGTATGTCTTCTTTCTTGATTTTTAACTGATGATAACCCGAACGAAAGTCTATTTTGGAAAAACATTGAAATGTTGTTATACTTTTAATTAGATAACCAACTTTTATTGGTTTACGTGATTTGATTAAAAACATCTTATATATAGAGATGGAGGGAGTATTAGAGTATTTTAGTTTAAAGTGGGTATATTTAATAAGGGTAAAGTTAAAAATTTTGTTGAATTTTTAGACAAAATTAATGAGACTTAAAATTTTTCTTAATTTTGATGAAAATGTTAAAAGTGATTTATAAATAAGATTAAAGGGAGTATATACTAATATGGCATTACTTAGTTTAAGCAATTTTTTTGGGTTCAACTGCCACTCTCTCCCCAAAAAATCTCTAAAAACGGGTCTTTAAATTAAATAAGAGTGAGAAAGACAATATTATTAAATTAATGATATTTTTGGAAAGATTGAAACGTATGGCTTTGAAGGGCAAAGGGCTAAGAGTGTCTTAAGGATGGAGAAGATGATTTTGCAATAAAGTCCCCAAGGGGAACAGATAGACATGAATAAATGTGGCTAATACAGAAAGAAATAGATAAGATTAATGAAAAGCTAGGTTACCTACTACAATAACATGTCAGACGTAACATAAGCATTTAACTCATGGACTCTCTCTTTTTGTCTTCTTATTACCGAATATTCTGTTTAAATACTATTACATTAATAACCACTTCAAAAACTAGGATATTATACTATATATAATGAGGCTCTGGCCTCTGATTAAGATTAATTATTGATTCTAGTATTTGATCCAAAACTCTGCCTTTCCCACTCTATCTTTAGGTCATCTTTGAGTTTTTTTTTTTTTTTTCCCGGGGCCGATGTCATCTTCGAGGTCAATGTCTTGAAACTTCGCCTCTGCGAGCTTTTCCATGTCATCTATTTTGTTTTTCTCTTTTTGTTGCCTTCTTGCTCATAGGATTCATTTTATTAAGCTTTAAGTTTCTCGATGAATAACTATTTTATGACAGCTATTTAGTTACTATCCGACACTATTGATTAGATCAAAAATTTAGCGTTGTTCAGTTTTAAAGGAAAGTAAATTTTTTAATGTAGTTTTTCTCATCTACGGAACACTAGTTTGAGATTTAATTTAATTACTTAAGGAGTGTGAATTCTTTCTCTTTGATCTAAAAAAGACTTAAATGGTATATATATTATGCCAATGACAAACAATGACATTAATATCATTTTCCTTTTTAAATACTATTTATTGATTCTTTTATTTAAATATGTTTTTTATTTCAATATCTTAAAATATATGCTTAAAAGCAACATGTCCATTAGATTTCATCATGTTCGGAATTAATAGCAATTGTTCGAAAATGGGGGAGAGTGTTTGACTAGTTAAGGTAATTAATGTTGATCACTTAATTAGTTGGTGACCCTAAAATCCATATAAAGGGTTCTGTATCATTCTATTGAAATAGGGAGGTGGAATCTTATTCATACAGAGAGAAGTTAACATAAGTCTTTATCTCATAAATCCCCAAGGTTTTCAGGGATATTGTTACTTTCACCCTTAAAGGGTTAATGGTTTGTTGTTTATTTGTTGTAATGCCATTGATGGCTTGATATCATCTTGTATCGAATTCATACTCTGCTTCATACTAGATCATTATTTAACATTGTATCAGAGTCCAAGGTTGGTGTGGGCCTAAAGATCTTGATCTTGTTGACTTGGGTCAGATATCCAAGATCCGGTAACCTGTCAAGAATCTACACATCAAGAATGCATTTTCAGTTTTCTATTTGATCTCAGGAGCTCTATTTGTCTATTCTCTTTATCAGAAGCAAAAAAAAAAAAAAGCCCTAGTTATTGTGTGTTCTTTGTGTCATGTTTGTGTCTTTATTCTCTATCGTGAATTTATGTTGCGATTCACTTCATTTTACTACATTGTGAAGCCTGTGTCTCATGTCAAGATCCGATAAGGCTACTCGAAACTTAAGATCCTGGACAGTTGGTTCTTGGATTTGCATCGTCTTCTTGGTTCACAATTGTCTTCATTCTCCAGTGTGCTAAAGACCTCTGCTGCCACTTCAATTCTTGGGTTTTCAGAGAATGGGAAATGATGAGAAGATCCCACTGTGACAATCATTGATTTTATACAATGAGAATACCCACGGCAACCACCATTGACCTTCTTAAAAGTATAGCCCAGACGGAAAGTGACACGAAGGAAAGAAAGATCAAATTATAAAGAGTCTCAACCTTTCTCGATCATTATTTAGTGGTTTCTTGATCATTGCTTTGACTTTGATTCCCTTGGATGCAATGGAGTTTGAATCCAGAACTTTGTCAGTGAATTTTTTTAAAAATTTTTATATAAATGGATGAAGAGCAGTGAATGGTATTATATCTTAATTTAAAATCTCAAAACTTAAACATATGAATCTTTTCACTTTATTATATATTAATTATTAAGTCTAATTTTATCTGATATGAAACTTCCTACATCAACTCAAGTCCATTCATATTTAGACATCATAACAATCTCCCTTTCAATTGTGTGTACATAAACTTCCCATTTCGAAGACACCTCAATGGCGCGGCACGCACGCAAGTCCCCCTATGTAATGACCGAAATAAATAAATAAATAAATAAATAATAATAATAATAATAAATCTCCTAATTTATATTTTCTTTAAATTAATTTTATGGAAAATGGAAGGGTGAGTTACTAAAACTTATGCTAATGGCTTACTTGAAGGTCAAAAGTTTTAATTTTTGTTAGTAATAAATTAATTTTATTTAGCTTAAAATTATAGGAAAATTACCAAAGTATGTGTCTTTTATGTTATTAGAAGAAATTTTGGGCCCTCTTTTGTAATTTTTGCAATTTCATAAAGATCATATTTATATTCTCTCTTTCGATCAATATGCATGCACCGCCTCATTTTTCCCTTCTCCTTCAACATTTTCAACAAATCCAGAACCACCGAGAGTCAGGGAAATCTTTCGTTCATTCTCTGATCATCTCCTCCTCGCCGTTGTTCTTCATTTCTTCCCTCACCGTCGCTGAGCTTGCTTGTTTCTTCTCCATTGAGGATCTGCCGTGAAACGGCACTACTTCTCATTTCCCCTGTCTCTGGTTACTACTAATTTTTGGCTCACCATTGATGAAGTATGCTTGGTCTTTGCCTCTTCTTCCTCCTTAGCTGCTATGTTTAGATCACCGAAGTTTGTTGCTGCAAGAAAGCTGTTCAAGTCGATCTACTTGCTCCTTGCTCAGGCTTCACCATTGATTCCTTCTTCTCCCTCCTTCGGCATCATCTAGGTGATAGTGGGTGGAGCTCGTCCTTCTTCTCCTTTGTTGGTCTGCCACTGGTACGGGTACTATTGTGGGTTTGAGATCTTCTTCCTCCTCTGCTCTTCCTTGACCATGTGATGGCTTCCCCTGTTTCTTCTTGGTTCACGTCATCATTGTGTTTAAGGGTGGGTAGCCATGGGTGCGTCAGTTTCATCCTCTATTTTGCTTAGTTAACTTCCTCATCTTGCTGCTAATTTGCTAATTGAGATGGGTGCTTGGGGTCTTATTTTCTCGTTGAATATGTGAGTGTGTTATGTGGCTGAGTTGTGACTTATTTTTTGTTGTTGCTATGCATAAATAGGAGGAGTAATAGTATTTAAACAAGTTGAAAATTTAGTTCTCGGGTGTGATTTTTGGTAGATAAATGCACTTATGTTTATATTGAAAAAGAGGAATTAGATTTAATTTTCTTTAAGGTCCAATTGAATTTTTTTCTGTTAAAAAATCAAAATTGGGTTGGCTGATTGAGTTTAATATCAATTTTGGGATTTGTAGGAAATGAGATTTAAAGGGAAGAGGTTTGGGTGTTAATCTGAGAATTAATGGATGATAAGTGTTCGATAAAATGCCTCTAGGAGAGTTTTGCTTGAATATCTTAAATTTATGAAATTTGATTGGTTATTGTGATAGATACATTTAGTTTGAGTGTTATTGATCCATGAATTTAGCTTGTAGGTTACAAATTAAAGGAATTTAATTATTATGAATTTGTATGTGACTTTAAATTCTTAGGGATAGAATGGTTATTAATAAAGTATTGGATAAAATATGATAGATTAGAAAATTCTAATTGCATGGTTGGAAACAATATACCGAAGAGAAAATATTACTTCAAGTAAATAGGTTGATATGTGTAATAACCTAGATATTTCAAATAAAATTAAATTATATAATATTATCTTTTACCTGTACTTTATTAATTTTGGAAGAAATTCAGCAACAAGAAAAGCTAGTCTAGTGAAAAGTAAATTCTCATTTAATCAATAAAGTCCTGAATTCGATTCCCATCAGTCTCAAGTGAAAAAGTTTATTTTCGAAGGCTCCCTTTTCAGCTTCCAAAAATTACCAAAATACTCCTATGTCATTAGATTTTATTTTCTCCTCTTTTTCCTTGTTCTGTCGTGAGTTCACCAGAGAGGACAAGAAAGTTCGGGATCCTCCATTCTGTGACCTCTGACCTTGCTTCATTTTCTGTTATTCTATCATTATCACTGATGATTATGGGTTCATCTTCCCTTGCAAAAAACGTTCGAATTGGCTGCCTTATTTTTCTCCCCATTTTGCTCTGTTTCCTCTTATGCATGTGGCCATCGATCGCAGTTAAAAAGGGTTCTGTCAAGCTTCGATCCTTGCTACCATCGAAGGAGGAATGTGCTGGTTAGTTTTCCTTTCTGTTTGTTCTTCTTTATTCTTCCTCGATTTGTGTATTACTGTCAACTATCTCTCTTTCCTCTTCCTTGTTCAATGCTCTACCTCCTTCATTTGGTTGCAGCAACACTGGTGTATGAGGAAGCTGAGGTGCTGCTCATGATTCTTCTAGTTTTTTTGGTGTGATTTGCTGATTCTGTCCTTCTTCTTTTTGCTGGAATTTCTTTCCCTATTTAGCCATAAGTTTCAGCTTCTCCTCCCCTTTTCTTCATCAATTGTATTTTAAGGTGGGTAAGATTCAATTCCTCTTCCCTCTTGCTCTGTGTATATGTGGTTTGGATGTTTAATTATTATCATTTTAATCCTCCTTTTTGCTGTTGTGCTTGTTCGAACAGTGAGGAGAATTTGGCGTAGGTTGATAATTTAGCATTATATATTTGATAAAAGTGAATAAACTCAATTTTCTTGGGTCTGAAATTGCCTATGTAGAATGCTTGAAATTGGAAGGTTGCATTATTTTAAATGTGGACATTAAAAAAAATTTGGGAAAAATGAAATTTGAAGAAAAGAGATTTGGTTTAAGTTTGACAATTAATGTATGTAGGGTGTTGGAGAAAATGTCTATTAAGAGAAATTGAAATTTATTTTTATTATTTTTGAAATTTCATTGATTTTTATGGGAAGAATAGTTATTTTGGTGTTATTAATCTTTGAACTTAACTTGGAAGAGTGCAAGAGAGGTTTATAAAATGAACAATATGTGATCATTTGAATCTTTAAAGATGGATGGTTTGTAGATGAAAAAAAATTAAATGTTAATAAGGAATTATTGTGCTGGTTGAAAGTTTAATAAAATTTAATTATGATTCATAGGGTGTTTGGAAGAGGAGAAATATGATTAAAGTTAAGAGGTGAAATTTGAATTTCAAGAAATTCAGGTAAGTGGATAGCGTCCCAACTGATATTTCAATAATATTTCCTTTACTAAAATATTACATTTTTCTGGAAATCATTTTAATAGTATTAATGTGATTATTGGATTTTTGTTGATTAACATTGCTTTATTTTGAAAAATTAGCTTTACCAAATTTAAAATTTTATTTGATCAATTAAATCAAGTTTGGACTTTGATTATGAGGTTTTTATTTTATCAAATATTGGATTGATACAGAGAATGATTCTTGCGAGTTTGACTTTGAAAATTTTTTGATTATTCGATAAATGCAAGCATGAGCATTGGATATAAAATTTTATTCTAGCAAGTTTTAATGCTTAAAAGTATTCATGTGAGTTTGATTTTAATAATGAGAACTGTATCTTGAAAGTGATGATTTTCTCACATGTTTGAAAATAGTTTTAAAAAAGGGACTTTATATGAAACACTGGTTGCTAACGGCAGTTCCGTTAGCCCTTGGAGCACCATGGTACATCTAGTTAGCAGGGTGTTTATAGAAGGTGCTAGCCTCGTGCGATGGCCAACGCACGTGGAATGGAGGGATGATTATTCGTGAGTATCATACTCAATTTGATTTCGTAGCTTTGAGCCGCGTTTAATTAGCATTACCCTCATGGATTGTATGTTCATATTTGTTTCATGGCTTCAGCCGTGTTTAGTTGCTTACCCTCGTGGACTGTGTGTCCACCTTTGTTTTCGTGGTATAAGCTGCGTTTGGTTATTTGCCCTCGTGGATTGTATATCCATATTTGTTACCTATTCTGATAAGTCCCTATAATTATAAGTTTTAAATTATTTGATGAACCTATTTTTCATTGGTTTTTATTAATGACATTTATAATTACTTAGCACATTTATTTGCTTTATTGAAAATAAATGATAATGACATTTGATATGAGGCTTTCATGAATTAGGATTTTATTTAAAATTACATAGAGTCCTTTTATGTTGAAGTTTATTAAATATTTGTTTGCAAACATAGTCATCTCAGGCATATATAATTATTTTAAACCTTCCTTTTATACTTATTTAATAACTTACTGTTGGGATGCTATTCACTGAAAATTTATTTTAGTCTCAGACTCATTAGCTGACGTTGATCCTACTATCGACTTCTGAAGGGCACACAACTATTCTGGGTGGAATTTTACCTTGCAATATCTCCCTTTTGATGTAAATATTTAAACTCACGTATTTTATTTTGGAAAGTAAGGTTTAGTGCTCCACATAGCTTATAGCTATATTTCTATTTTATTATATGTTGTCTGCTGGCTGGAAGGAGCTAAACTCTTGATGAAAACTATATTTTGTGTAAAATATTGTATTGTAGGAATTTTGAGAGATCCTATTTATGGGGGAGGTTCTGCTGAAATTTCTATGAAAATATTCAATATGTTATTATAATAATTTTTTTAATTTCGATACAAGTTCAATTATGTTTTAAAAATGGCAAGATTTCTTAATTTAAGGCTTAAGGGATGTATGATATCATTTACATCCTGTGCCAGTCACCCTCTATTTTTAGGATGTGACAATATGGTTAAAGCATTATGGAGAAAATTAGTGACATAACTAATAGTGCTTAAACATTATTACCTATAAATCTAAATTAGACTTTTATAAAGGAGTTCATTAAAGGAATTATTGAGATCTTATATAAGGCCCTGGAATTATTGAGAATTACAAGGTTGAAGAGTGTACAAGATATATTATTAATTTATAAGTCATACTTAGATGTTTGGAAATGATTAGTCAAGAGAATTAAAAGTTATATGTTTATTCAATGGTTTGGAATGTCGTACATTATATGCTTGGTAAAAAGCCTAAGGAAAAATTTTTATGTATAAATTTTGTTGTTAAAATTTCAAAGTTTTTTTATTATTTTGTTGAATGGATTTCCTTTAAAGAGATCTGTTGATTCAAAAGTAAAGTTCATTAAAATCTTATTATACTTTATAGGGTAATTGTAAGGAAGGTAGCTTGATTGGAGTTGTAAAAAATGAATTTTGAGTTTTGAAGATTCTACAGGTAAGTGGATAGCGTCCCAACTAATATTTCATTAAAATCTCCTTTATTCAAATATTATATTTTTATGCAAATTTTTTTTACAACAACAATGTGATTATGAGATATTTTGTTAAGTAAATTACTTTATTTCATGAAATTATTTTACCAAAATTGATCATTTTAGTTAATCAGTAAATAGAAGTTTGAATTCTAATTGTGGGATTTCATTTTGAAAATTATTGAATTGCTACAGAAAAATGATTCATGCGAGTTCGACATTGAAAAGAAAAATTTGATTGAATAGTGATCAATTTCTCGCATGTTTTGAAATTGAATTTGAAAGGGACTTTATATAAAACACTGGTTGCTAATGGCAGTTTCGTTAACTCTTGGCACGCCATGATTCACCTAGCTAACAGAGTATTTATAGGAGGTGCTAGCCTCGTGTGATGGCCAACACACGTGGAACGGAAGGATGGTTATTCGTGAGCATTGTACTCACATTTGTTTTGCGGCTTCAAGCCGCATTTGGTTAACATTATCCTCATTGACTAGGTGTTCACATTTGTTTCATGGCTTCGGCTGTGTTTGGTTACTTACCTTCATGGATTGTGTATCCACATTTGTCTTCGTGGCAAGAGTTGCATTTGGTTATTTATTCTTGTGGACTTTGTGTCCACGTTTGTTAATTATTCTGATAAGTCCCTATAATATGAATTTAATTATTTGATGATTTTACATTCCATTGGTTTTTAATTAGTGAATTATTTATAATTATTTATTTTATTTATTTACTTTCTTGCAATCAAGTGATAATAATACTTGATATGATATTTTAATAGTTCAAGATTTTATTTAAACTTTGTAAAATTCTTTTATTTTCAAAGTTTATTAAATTTTTATGAAAATTGTTGCCTCTTTAAATTGTATAATTGTTTCAAACTTTCCTTTTATTCATGTTCAATTATTTATTGTTGGGACCTTATTCACTAAAAAAGATATTTTGGTCTCAAATGATATAGTTAAACTCGTGACTTGAGATATTCACTAAGAAGTTTTATTGTTAAATTGAAGCAGAAGAATTATTTTTGTCAAATCCTAAATTGATAAAAAATTTGAACTTTATACTTATGTTGGCGTCTGGCCTTAGGTGCTCCACATAGACTACAGGTAGGATCTTTACATTTCTTTTAAAATTAAATATCTGATTTAATATTTTAATAATTTTTAATTACTCTATTAGTGTGTTTAACATATTAATTTCAGATTTTCTCCGATCACGACTTAAGGGATATGAGTTTTGTGCCCATATCCCGTGCCGGTCACACCTGATTTTTGGGGTGTGACATCCTAGGTTCAACCAAGGCCAATACCATTCTATGCATCATACACGTGTGTAATATAGGCTTTTAGGTCTCAGGCAAAACCTAATTCTATTATCATTTGTTAAGAATAAGAAATGACTGCCCAGAACAAAAAAAGTTCAAGCTTATGAATCCCTTCATTTTATTAAATATCAGTTATTCAAGGTATTAAGTTGGCAAGAAGAGCCTTATCTATTACACATTGCTTCTTTGCTAATGATGATGTTCTTTACTTACAAGCTATTGGAAGGAACTGTGTTATATATATATGATCAGTATAGTATTTTGAATAAGAACTGTGATGTGTTTAGGCAATTAATCAATTTTCAGAAATCACATGTTTTCTTCTCCAGGGACACTCATGACGTTTTAAGGGAGGTTTTAAAAAAATATTTTAAATGTTGAAGAAGTGGAAAATCTTGGGAAATATATATATATTGGCTTGCCTATATTATGACGTCGATCCAAAGTGAAAGCCTTGAGTTTTGTAAAGGCTCAAGTTTGTTTGAAAGTTAAAGAACGGAAGAAGAACCTTCTTTCTTCTGTTAGAAGGGAGGTGTTAATTAAAGTAGTGGCTAGCTCAATTCTAGTCTTTCCCATATGTCTTGTTTTCTTTTTCCTAAACAAGTTTGTAAGGAGTTGGACAACATTCTATCTTCATTTTGGTGGGACCAACAAAGGGAGGAAGGTATATATACATTGGGTGCGTTGGGATGATTTAACAACCTAAAAAAGTGGACGAGGACTTGTTTTTCAAGATTCCTATTAGTTTAATGTGGCTTTACTTTCCAAACAAGGTTAGAGAGGATTCTTAATGAGCCAAACGAATTATGGGTGCAGGTAATATTAAGTAAAGGCATATATAGAGCTAGAGCCTCTTGGGCTTGGTTAAGCTTGCTTGAGGGGTGGCTAGTACTAGATAAATTAATTTGCTTTAATATTGGTGATGGCATGTCAATT